TGAGAAACTCAATCAATAAAATAAAAACCTCAGTGAAAAGCCTCACCCATAGAATAAATCAAATGGATGACAAAGAAAATCGTAAATCTAAAAAAAGAAAAAAAAAAACAGGAACAAAATGTGCAAGAGTGCTGGGATACTGGTTATAAAAAACTGCAAATTATAGGTATATAAGAAGGAAAAGAAACCTGGGTCTAAGGCACAGAAAGTATTTTCAACAAAATTAGTAAAGAAAACTTCCCACATCTCAAGACTGAGGCGCCTATCAAGGTCCAAGAGGGATAGGGAATACCAAATAGGGCCAGACGAGAAATTTCCTATGTCACTTAATGATCAAAACGCTAAATATACAGAACAAAGAAGAGATACTGAAAGCCGCAAGAGCAAAAGAACAGATCACATACAAAGGCAGGCCTGGGGCTGGAGAGATGGCTCAGTGGTTAAGAGCACTGGCTACTCTTGCAGAGGACCTGGGTTCGATTCCCAGCACCTACATGGCAGCTAGGAACAGTCTGTAACTCCAGTTCTAGGAGACCCTGACATCCTCCTCTGACCTCCACAGGCACTACACAACATGGATGCACTTACATGCATGAAAGCAATATACACATAAAATAAAAATAATAAATAAAATATTCAAAAATTTTTATTTTAAAAAAACAGGCTTAGCATAATAACACCTGGCTTAGCGGAGACTCTGAAAGTCAGGAGGGCATAGACTGACTACATCTACATTTGTAGATGTTTTACAAATTCTTAAAGACCAAAGATACCAACTCAAGGTATTATACACAGCAAAACTATCAGTTGTAATAGATGGAGAATGGAAAACTTTCCATGATAAAACGGATTTAAAGAACATTTGTACACTAAAGGCGCTCTACAGGGGAAACAAGAAGGAAGAGTTCCCTGTAAAGAGATTATACACATCCAAGTGTATAATTCAAGAAGAATTAACCAAAACAGGCCAAAGAAAAAAACATACAACAAAATAACAGGTATTAATAAATATAGGTTATTAATAGCTGTGATTATTAATGGTCTTAATTCCCCCAATATAAAGACACAGACTGTTATTGGATTAGAAAACAGGATACATCTTTTTGTTGCCTCCAAGAAATACATCATACCATCAGCGATCAACACACACCACCTTAGACTAAAAAAATGGAAAAAAGTATTCCAAGAAAATGGAACTAAAAATCATTCAGTCATAGCTAGTCTAATATGTGACAGAAGTTGTTGACCTAACCTTTCATCTTTAGCCAATCGGTTTACTTCACTATGTTTTCTCCTTTCTTGAACGTGTAACTGTTCAGACACAAACAAAATTTGATGGCAGTAAAACCATGACGTTCACTGTTCCAAGTTAGTGTTTGATTTCTGCTGAGAGTGGCTGTGTTTGGAGAACACTGGCTATGATATAGAAGCACATGTACACAATTGTACAGCATCTAAACTCAGAACAAAATAAGTCAAGGAAAACACCATCTTCCCATTGAATAAAATAAAATTGTTTTAAATATTCAGGAGACCTGGGTGTGGTGGCACACATCTTTAATCCCAGCACTTGGGAAGCAGAGGCAGTGGGCGTCAGCTTGGTCTACATAGTGACTTCAAGGCCAGCTATGGCAATTGAGAGACCTAATACACAGTGCTGGAAATGGTTGAGGTTGGCTGCAAGGCTACGACTCATGAGCAGGAGTGTTAGTTGTGAATAAACCATGCATAAACTGCACCATGAGTTTCTAACAAGTGAGAAAACACCCAGCCAGGGAAGGAATGCACTTTCTACTGAGGCATGGCCTATATGAAACAAAATGTTATTTAGGTTATCTCTAGAGATACACTTTGTACTGATATGCCTAATCCACTAGTCTAAGAAACATGAAGGTTTAAAATATTTTTTGAAAAAAGTTTAGATCCATAAATTGTCTGATTGTAATATAATTACTAAAGACATTTTTAAATTATTATTCATTTGGTATAAAAGTTATTTTTAAAGAAACATTAAAGAATATCTCAGTTGCCATAATATATAAATGCTTTTTCATAAATTGCCTGTCATTTTTTTTCTTCAAGTTTTTTGTTACATTTCAGAGTAAATCTCAATGTTAGCAGCACTTGATATATATCCTTACTGGATTCTAGGAACTGAACTTCGCTGTTTAATTTTGATTCCTAAGGCAGCTTACAACTGGACTCAATTTCTTTCTCTAAATTATTATTTCCAAAAATCTGGTGCACATGAGAATGGCACAAAGAGCCTGACTGAACAAACGTGGACTTCTAGATATCATCCTAAAGGGTCCTCATGGTTAGCAGGAGCAGCAGGGGCTCAGATCCACATACAATCAAACCAACCTTGACAAACATCAGGTCTTCATGAAGACTGCAACCTGAGGCTCTCTGTAAACTCCCTCCACTCCCAACTCCAGATTTTCTACCTCTCCTGATCCAACCAGCTTCTGGTGCTGATAAGCACCAAGTCCCAAGTGAAATCTGATGCTGAGTATGTATCAGTCAGAACTGACTGGGGTCATTTTCTCTGTAGGTTAGGAAACCCATGACTGCAAGGAGAAGCAGGAGCAGAAAGTGCAAGGCAAAGCAAGGACCCCCACTAAGAAGGAAGCCCTGAGCTCATAGATGGCATAGACCTCAGCCGCCTCTGATGACTAGAGGGGTTATTCCTTCTGCCTATGAATGATGGAGAATGTAGGAAGTTGAAAGTTCTCCCAACGTCCTGGAGGAAAGCGAGACAGACCTGCCAATCACATAAGACTCAACAGTCATAGAATATGTTTGACTGAACCTCTCTCAGGACTGCTTCCTTCTCTCTTAAGTAGCCTCCTTATCTGGTCCCATGAAACAGGTCAATGATACATTCCAGAGGTCAGAGGAAAGCTCTGAGCAGAAATTTATTACAAATAAAGTCACCAGAGGAATATGCAACTTAACAAGAGAAAGTACTGTGATTGAGAATCACATGTCTGCATAGGACTTCATAAACCCAAGAAGGATGGATCCTTAAAGAGAGTACTAAGCGGGCTGGAGGGATGGTTTAGCTGTTAAGAGCACTGACTGTAGAGGACCTGGGTTTGATTCCCAACACCCACATGGCAGATAACACTCATCTGTAATTTTAGTTCTATGGGATCTGACACCTCCTTCTGACCTCCACAGGCAGTGCATGACATGGGTGCACTTACACACATGCAGGCAATACACTCATATACATAAAAATAATAAAAAATATTTTTTAAAAAGAAAGTACTGAGTATGTGAACCAAGACGATGGCACCAGAAAAACGCCACAAGCAGAAGGAAGTAAAGGGGAGGTGAGCTTGAAGGCAAATCTGGAGGTTCTTACCAGGGAGAGCAATAGGAGTTCTAAAACAGGGGTAATGAAAACAGTACATATGAAAAATGAGTAAAGTAATAATAGAACAAAATCATCTTGAACTCAGAAAAAGAACAAAGTCTGAAAGTTAGCAGAGGGAAAAAATGGAGTCATAAATTCTCCGCTCTAAGAATACAGAGCAATCTTATAATGCTCCAGATAGGAATAATTCCCCATGAGATTCAGATGGACTGCTCCCAACCAGACTTTGTACACGGAAACTACTAAAATAATCCCAAATGTAGCCCCCCCCACCTTCATCCTGTGTGCAGAAACCCTCATAGCTCCTGCCAAGAGTTGTAAATGCAAGTTGGCCTCTTATATCGCCTTCACCACCCTCATGACCTTCATCACCCCATCAGCTTCATCATCCTCATCACCTTCATCATCACCCTCCCCATTTACTCACTCTAGACAGGACAGAAGAAAGTTTCTTTCCTACTCACCTGGGTAACAGATACTTATCTCTGGAGACTCATTTCCGGTGTCACCATCCTAAAGAAACTTTGAAAAACCTTCCTTGACACCTCAAATGGTTTCCCTGCAATTTAGGTGCAACCTCGCACTGGGCATCTGCCCATCTCAGTGTTTATAAGGACTGCTTCCAGGCATTTGGGGCTTATTTTTAGTCTCTAAATGACTGGGCTGAGTGGAACGTGTGTCATTCTAGATCGTTGTGATTTGGATAGAGTTTAACCATGTCACCCAGAGGTTCACATGTTGGAGGTCTGGTGCCAATGTGTCAGAGCTGAGGTGGCCTATAAGAAGTGAGTCCCACTGGAAACTCATCAGGATGTGAGGTTCCACCTGGAAGGTTATTAATGCCCTCCCCCTGGTTTGGGATTAGTTCTGGAGAGAACCGGTTACAATGAGAGAGCTACAGATGACTCTGAAGTCAGGCAACCTGATATAGAAATGATGGGGGGTGAGACTGCTTTACTTGGTTCCCAATCCCGTGTCTCAATTACCATTCTGGTGCCCAGAGAAGATCATGTGATCATTAAGTTGGACTACTCAATTTATGCCCAAGAAACTCTGACCTACAACAGGCCTGGAGATGTTTGTGGTCTTGATTGCACTCAGCAAGAACCGTGCAGTTCCTGGCATATGAAAATGGGGCCTATCTCCTGGAAGCAACTATTGGAGGGGTTTATAAACTATGCAACTTACATACTTTTCTATGTCTTAAAATTGTTAGAATATACCTACCCCTTCCACCTCTTGCTAAGGGGGCCAGTGTGTGTCAAGCCCTTCACCTAACACCCTCTTTCCCAGGGGACGCTTGGCTGTTGGGGCAAGAAGCTAGTGATGCAGTGCTTGGAGCCAGGCCTGTCCCATCAGCTACTATAAAACAGCCCTCAAAAGACCAAGGGCTTCTCAGATTATCCTTGTGAACTACGACCACAGAAACAATGGAAGCATTTACGTTAGAAGGGGCAGGGGCAGAATTTTTATCATTGAGCTACAGCCCCAGCCCCTTATTTGGGAAATTTTATCTGCAACTCTAAAATATTCAATGTAGCCGTGTACCTTCATCAGTTCCGGCCTATACACCAACACACCCATAAAGTGGCTTCTAAACAACAGAAAGTTCTCTTACCTGAAAAAGTAGGTTTCTGCCCTCTCATAGTGGCCAGGTGTCAGTTTGAGGGGAGGGTAGGTGATAGCCAGAGGCTCCACCATGAACAAGCCCATGGCCAAGGCCACAAAGAGCACAGGCAGAAGAAGGTCCGAGGCTGTGCTTTTCCAGGCTCGCAGAGTGTGGAGTAACCGCTTCCTCAGGAGTGCAGTCACCTGTCCCAGCAGCAGCTGGCAGCCCCGCACAGGCTCAGGCAGGGTACACACAGGTGGGTTCCTCACAGGAGAGCTTCCTGTAGGGGCTGAGAGATCAGCAGAGTGAACTGGATGCAGAGAGATGGGGCTCCGTGGTCCACCTGGGTCTTACTAGTCTCTTCATCTCTCCTGTAGGGACCCTGGACCACCTTTCAGGAGCAGCAAGACCATGTACTGCCTCCCCACGCTAAAGGACAGTTCCATGTCAAAGGATGGCCCCTGGGCTTTGCACCTTCCTGTTTTGGAGACTAGACTGTGACTCCTGGCATGAAACACAGGGCTAGATGCCTCTGGGTGTTCCCTCTGACCTTTCTGAAGGGGGAGTGGCAAATGTGAATGGAGGGCAATGAGAAAAGTTACCCTCCACTCCTGTACGTATTGGTTGAAATGCAGTCTGATACACAGGTGATTCTGATGCCTAAAAGACAGGGAAGTGCAGGAGGTTCTGTGAGCCGGAATAATGACTGAGCCAGCTGAGAGGGGAGCCCGTGAGCACCTTCTCTTCAGCACCCTACTCTCCCTTCCTCCTATTCTTTTCCTCTGTCAGTAACTTGTGTCTTTCCTGAGAAAGTTGACGATTATGAGCAGGGTGAGCATCAGAAAAGATACATGGCACCTGCCCTTCTTCGTTTTCACACAGCCCCTATGTGTTCCCCTACAGGGCAAAGAGGAATTGCTGGGTCCTAGGGGCCAGGCGTCTGGTCCAGTGCTGAGAGATTCCTGGGCCTCGCAGTCCTGTCCTTTCCTCCTTCCTTTGTGAACAGCCCTCCAGGATCATATAAGTCAGCAAGTAGAGTCTGAAAGGAAAGTGTTTGCTGTGGGGTCACTGATCTGAGAATCATCTATGAGCATCCCTCCACATTGAGCTTCTGCATACTCAGGACAGAGTCTTCAGCAGGGTCCCATGAGAAGGGTAAGCTTGCCAAGCCATCCTTCTGGGCAGCTTTCCTCAAGGATTCCGTCTAAGGTACTCTAGCAAGACAAGCACAATACAAAGCGTTCTGCAAGAAAAGAGGTGACAGGAAAACACAAACGCACAAAGCTGACTTGCTCACAAACACCAACGTGAAGGTCAGTTTGTAAAAGAACAGAGAATTAGCTCAAAAAACAAAATAAAACAAAATAAGATGAACAAGAATCATTTTGGAAGGTCTGTCATCTGTGATAGTGTTAAAGTCAGAGCTGTTGGAGCACAGTTGGGTGAAAATGCATACCTGGAATATTCCTTATTTATCTAAAGTATTGACTGACAACCCACTGTGTGGCAGATACTAGGTTAATTTGGTTTTTGCCCTCAAAAAATGTTTAACAGAGGCTGGAGAGATGACTAAGTGGCTAAGAGCACTGGCTGCTATTGCAGAAGACCCAGGTTTGAATCTAGCACCCACATGGTAGCTAACAATCATCCATAATTCCAGGTCCAGGAGATCAGACACCTTCTTCTGACCTCCCCCAGGCAATGCATGACAGAGAAACACCTACTTACATGAAAGTATAGCTCTCATACACATAAAATAAATAAAACACTTTAAGAGGGTTTGGGATGAAAATGTGAAGAAATAACCTAATAGAACACAGTGCTGTGATCCTACCTTGAGTGGGTAGGAATGAGCAAGTTCAGAGATGATAAAGGTAAGAAGAAAGAGGCAGAGCCACAGACAGGATCAGGTGGAGGCCTTCTCTTCGAGAGGAGTTTGCAAGGGAATGTACGTGCCACAGCACAAAGCAGAAGATGTGGATGCGCAAGGCCAACGCCACGAGTCGCTGATGGAGAAGAACGTAGGGTGTCCTTATGCTGTGTGGCAGGGAGTAACAGGGAACAGGGTCAGAAAGCAAGGCATGAGGGCCAGGACTGTCCTCTGCTCTGACTCAAAATGCCTCCACCAGATGCACCGTGGTTAGACCTGCACATCATACTGTACAGGCATACTTTACTGAGCTCTAAGCACCAGTGTTTAAGCCAGGCTACACATCAGATTCACCTGGAAACTTTTTTTCACAATGCTGATTTCCTGGTGCCATCTCAGAAAAACATCTGACTCTCAGAAAAATGAATGCGGAATGTGTTTGTCGTTTTCTAGCTTCCTGGGGATTGTGCTGTGGTGATACTTGATGTGGTGTCATGATAGTTCAGAGTAGTGCACATAAAGAAGTTACAGCAGTCAATACCAGGACTCCATTCTTAAACTAAATGTGACACTGTTACTTATGTGATGCTGCACAATATGAGCTCATGGTGTTCATGCAGCCCCTCTAGGATAATTAAGACATGAGCCAGCTCAAGACAAAGTATGTGGGTGTCACTGGTTGCATTTCCTGACTTTCTAGATATGATTATTGAGATAATGGCCTGATACCTTTGCTGCCTTCTGACTAAGAAGCTCTTTTTCCTGTTTAGCAAAGTGGCTTGTTCTGTAGAAGTTCAAGAGGTGTTGAAGTCTTGCTGGCAGGTATTGTGGCTCGCCTTACTCCCATGCTCATACCTCACAAATTCACCTTCATGCAGCATCTTTTCATGCTGACCATCTGACCTCTCACACTGACAAAACATGCACTTTCTCAGGATGCAGGCAAAAAGTTGTAAGTACCTGTCAGTGCAGTGAGAAGGAACGTGTCAAAAATCTACTCAGCAAATTTGCCCTGGTGATGGCAAATGTAGAGGCAGAGATGGAAAAAGACAGCTTGGCTGCCGGTGGCCTTAGTCACTGAGGAGCCTTGGGAGTATTATAGTGAGGTGGAAGAAAGTCAGTCTTCACTGGCCTGGATATGAATCCACTCTTATCACCCTCCGACTGTGTGACTTTGGGAAGACTATGCAACCTCTCTGAATGCCATCTCCTCACTTGTAAAAGAGAAGTAAAATATTTCCTTTCTGCATAATGAGGGTTATTATTAGAACATGTATTAAACTGTCAGAACAGATATAATATTGACCTCCAGTCACAATAAATATTCATCAGACAGCTTCAATAAGGCTGTGGGGAAAAGTGTGTCTTAGGTTAAGAGGAATGAAGTTTCTCCTCCTTTCTATATATATATTAATTAGATATAAAAACTGAAAAATAGGGGCTAGAGAGATGGTTCAGTGTTTATGAACACTGACTGTTCTTGCAGAAGAGCAGGGTTCAAATCCCAGCATCCACATGGCAGCTAACAACTGTCCATAACTCCAGTTCCAGAGGATCTGACAGTCTCTTCTGTCCTCCGCGGGCATTGTACAACATGGGTGCACTTACCTACATGCAGGCAATACACACATACACATAAAATAAGAATAAAAAGATTTTTAAAAAACTGAAAAATAAAAGGCTAAGGTAGTTTATAGTTATGAATCAATCACCAATCAAATATTCACGACTAAATGTATGAAAGCATTCACATGAATAATTTATTAGACAAAATTAAAATGCTGGGCCAAATTGTTATGAATTGTCATATTTCACTTATGAGTGCAATTATATTCAAGGACCTAAGTTACATCTGCAGTTATGCATTCCCATTTACTCAGACCATCAAATTACTTACAGAAAATGTCCAAAGGTTTTTTTTTTCTGGATTTTTTTGAGCAGGGTCAGATGACTACCATTATTCAAATATTAATGCCTGGTGAAGAGTACCTTAAAATCCAAAGAGCCAAAGGGACCCCAGAACATGACCTCCATATTACCAGCAACACTGGCATTCCTGAGGATTTCTGATGGCAGGATTAGTGCGATGCTTCTGTGATAAGAAAAGCGAGTGCTCCAAAACAAATCCACATGGAATACATGGTTATGCAGTTCACAAAAACTCAGAAGTACTCAATTGATAGGTATTGTAAAATAAGGCAAGAGTTGGATTCCTCAACTCATCTAAGTGGTAAAGATTAAAGATAACGATAACACCAAATATTACTGAGTGCTCAAACAAATAATATGACCACACTGCTGACTACACACTCCTGGTGAGGGGACAGATCTTTACAGTTACTTATATGAGATGAATATAGGTCTTCTTGAATTTCCAGTTCAGATGTTGTGTTAATTAAAAAATGAAAATTCATCAAGTGTATAAAGCTTGTGACTTCTTAGACCTCTCAAAAAACAGCAGTAAGAGACTGGAACCAATATCTAACCTACAGGGATTAACTGAACAAATCACAGTACAAGCTGAGCTTTCCTTACCTCAAATACTTGGGACCAGAAGGAAGTATTTTAGATTTCAGATATCTTTTGGATTTAAAGAGGAGGGGCCCCAAGTCCAAATACCAAATTCATGTTTCATATTCATCTTTTCCGCATAACCAGTGGTAATTTTATACAATAATTTCAATATGCCTGGATTCTGACTACAACTCATTATGAGACCAGATGTGAAAAATTTCTCTTTGTGTGTGATATTTTTGTCAACACTAAGATTTTAGAATTTGGAGGATTATGGAATTAGGAAGCTTAACCTGTACAACTTCACAGTGGAATGTTTTATATACTAAATACTTAATGTATGAAGGATATTTCTTCAAATTTCTAAGAGAGCAAAACAATTGAAATGGAATTATGTTATCTTTAGAAAGAAAAGCTTCTATGAAGTCCTGGAAGATGGTTCCATAAAATGAGTGGGAGGGGAAATGGCTGCAGCATTAGAAGCTTATTAATGAAAGTTGGGGGGGGGGACCAGAAACAAACACTTCCAGAAGAATCCATATTGGATGGAAAAATGCCACAGAGTAAGACATGCAGAGTGGATAGAATTTACTAAGGAGGCCAGTACTAAACTAGAAACATTCAAATTTGGTGGGGCTACATTCACTGAAAATTTGTCTTTTGTCAAATAATTACATATTTTATGCTATGTTTTTATAAAATAGAGGTTTTCCAAGTCTAAGTCCTTTTTAGCCTATGTCAGCGAAGACTGTGGCTACTTGCATGTTCTTCTTCACAATGTTTGTATTATTTCAAAATGAATATTCATGTTGTAATATGATGAAACAATAATTGTTTTCTGAAAATTATAGACTTATTCAGGAAATTAAGCACATTTTTGTGAGACATAAACAGGGTAGTTCTTT